AAGATTCTGTACAACATTGCAAAATATATAAATGAAATTTTCTATGTCCCTTTATCAAAACACAAGTTCACTTACTAACCATTAGAACTCTACCTTTAACAGTACACCAGTACTATTTTGAATCATAAGTATTTAAGGAGATAAGATTTCTCTTCAAATTTGTAACGTGCTTCACTGTATTAAGTGTTTAAACTGTCCCATCAAATGTATTTATTCTGACCCGACCACTATTAGCTATCCAACAAGGTGTGTTATTATCGATCATCACAACACCTTTTGAAACTTCTTCATATGTTGAAAACAAATTTCAATTGTGGCACATATGAAAACATCAAACTGTATCAAGAATCCAAGTCTCGTCAGATTTGGAGTTATAGTCAGACATAAATAAAAGCTCTTTATCACTGTTAGGATTTTCTACAATACTTGTTTCTCCCAAAGTTTCTGATTCTTGATTTGCAGTCAATTTTGCCTTATTCTGCAATTAATTAGAACCATTCATTAAGTGCCATTTTTTCTTGAAATAATTACAAAATTTGTAGTTAAATTTTGACTTGCTCCTTACATGACCACCATCAAGAATGAAGCAATCTTCATGACTCCAAATGTGATAAGATGCTTCATCTTCTCCTTTAAATATAGAGCATTATAGATTTATTTGATGGTGAGAGTATCACGACTATATAAAATCGTTTCTCTAGAAGACATGTATGAAGCAGGCAATGCGCAAAATAAAATCAATCCCAATCTTCTTCATCAAATACCTCCAAGATTTTCAAATCAGCGACGATTTCCTTAAAATCGGTTAGGTGATCTTCAAGAGATGTACTTTCTGTCATATGAGAAGAATATAGACATTGTTTCAGATGCAATTCGATAGTAAGATTCTTCATCATGCATAATTACTCCAATTTTAAACATAATTCATTGGCTGACTTCTCATTTAAAACGTTGTAAAAATTATTTGAAAGATGAAGATGTATTTGACACAGGGCATTTTGATCCTCCGTTCTTCGTCCTTTGGAGTTCAAGTTGTGGGTATATTTTCAAATACCAACAACGCATCGTCCAAATTCATCAAAGCGAGTACTACTTGCATATTTACATGCCACAAGAAAATATTGTATTGTGATCTAATAGTGATATATCATATTTCATTGTTGCCATTACGAAAGATTAAGTTGAGCTATTAACTTAATCAAAACCGTGATCCTCCAAGAATTTCAAAATGAAAAGCTCTAATACCAGTTTGTTGTGAAATGAAGATGATACCGAATTAATCTAATACCACCTTGTTGAAGAAATAAGATATTATAGCCACAATATGAAGTAAAAATCTCAAAGACATGTGAGCAATGTAATTTACAGGGTGAATGAAATTTTAATATAACATAAAGAAAGAATACAAAAACTTTCATTTACAATGTTTCAAACTAGACTTGAATCATAAGGAAGAGCCAACTAATATATAGGAAAAAAAATAGAGGACGTCCAAATTCTAATAGTAGTTGTAGATGAAGTGGAATGCAAGAAAACTTGCCAAATCGTGAAAAAACCCCAGACAGCAAATACTATTGCTCGAGCGGGTGGCTAGTGGTGTCCTTGTGCTCAAGTAGTAGGCTAGTGTCATACGGGTGCTAGCTTCTCTAACTTTAGTGTTCAAGCAAAAATGCGGTGAGACAACCCTTCGTTCCATAATTTTAATGTCTTCAAGTCCAACACAAATTTTAACTCTTAACACGATTTCTAAATAGAATTTCAACTAAAATTTACCGGCAAACTTGATTAGGATTCCACAATAACATTCCAATAAAAAAAATTCCTCTTAACGTGTTAGAATTCTCAATTATTTTCAATAAATAATTCGAATAACATCTCAAATTCTAACATTTATGAATTAAGAAGTGTTGTAATGTAATTTTGGAAGGTACAAAACAGTTCATTTTTATGACTAAAAATTATATTAATTTGAATAGTATGAAATGCCCAAAAAATAAAGTGTGATATATATGCAGTATGCTGTGAAGCGAAAGTATATTATATTATTTAGACAAATTGATCTCTTGTGACTTTGATCATCGATAAAAAATAAACATAAAATGTTCGTGTAGAAGCATGGACCGCGTTCTTCTTCCTATATTACGGTTAATTCAGTTAGCTAATTAGGTATAATCTTCATCCAAGTCAACAAATCCATTTACCATTTACGCAACTTTCGGGAAATGCACTTGAGATTAAGATACAGCCATTAGTTTAACAGCTTAAAAGTCATCAAATAAATTATGTACATTTTGTAAGTTGTATTCTTATTATGAAAAAATAAATTAAATATTTTATATTATATTGTTTGATTTATTTTGTATTATCTGCAAAACATGTTCTTAAATGGTATTAAGAATTTATTTAGTGACAAATTCAGTGACGGATCCAAAAATCCTGGTGCGTATGGATGATCACCCAATATACGGAGAAGAAATTTTTTTGTGAAGCCAGCACAAGCAGCCACAAGGACTTGTCGAGTACCAACTCCGCCCCCGATGACAATGAACAAATGCATTAAGTATTTATTATTATTATTATTTATTTATTATAATTATTATTTTTTTTTTATTTTTTTTGTTGAAAACTAGATTGCTCTATAAAGATATTATCATCACATTTCAACTAAGTCAGTACCCGCCAACCATCCCCTACGAAAAGAAACAATTGTCCATGATACAAGTCAAAAAGACAAATAAAGGTAATATTAGGACTTGATGTGCAGTGTTTTAGGCTTAATTATTGGCTGGTAAATATGCATTGGGTTGATAGAAAAGATTGTTCTGGTCAAGCTTGACTAGGATTGGTTATTTATGAGATCTTCTTAAATCGATGACCAAATATGATTCTAATTTGGTTTAATTTCCCATTGTACACTGTAATACATTAGTTTAATTAAAAGAAAAGTCAAAAAACAAAACATTAGTTTAATTAAAAGAAAAGTCAATTAAAAAAAAAAGCAAACAAAAAAGGTCAGGGTGCATTTATTTTATATCAATCCAATGCCAAACAAATCCATTTGCCTACACATACAAAAACACGCAGAGAGAAACGGAAACAGGGAGAAAGAAAGAGAAGGAAGAAGGAAAAAAAAAGGAAGGAGAAAAAGAGAGAGAAAAAAAATGGGAAAACTTGCTAACGTGTTAGAAAATAAGTTCTTCTACTATTAGGCTTAAATTTTTCGAAGTTAAAGGTAAGTAAAAAGTTACTTATTGTCAAGTTATATTTAATTTTATAGTTGTTAGATTAAATTCAATTTTATTAAAGAGGTTAAATATAATAAACTATGAAATTGAGTAAAATGAAAAAAAAACTAGTTTTAGTGATTAAAGTGGTTTTAGAAATCGCTTAAACATGAAATTATTAAGCTTGGGTATCGCCTATTTAATTATTGAGAATACTTAAAATAGTTAATTGTTGATTTAAAAATTAAATCATATTTCAGGCGGCGATACAGATATCGGGACAGCTTACCAATCGAGTTGATATTGGTGTACATAGTTTTGTGAGTAGAAAAATATAAATATTTTTTAAAGTATTTATAAATTAAGTATATTCTTCAAGTATGTGCAATTATATTCAATTATGTGTTCAAATTACTTGGTTATTATGGAAATATCTTTTATTATGATACATATGGAATTTCAAAGATTGTATACGGTATATTGTGAATTGGAATATGAGACGTGATTTTGAGATCGACCAGAAAAGTACCTGTGATTATATATTTCTTTTAGTTCACTGAGAGGCCTTGGCCGTGTTCTATACTACACTGAGGGGTCTTGGACTATGGATGAAGGGGTCTCGACCGTGTACATATAGTTTGTTGAGGGACCTTGACCGTGTTCTAGAAGCCCAAGGGGGGGGGATTACTGATTTTAGTCAGAAAGTACATTTTTGATGGATTTTTCAATACATTTGATGTGATGAGATTGATTACTAGCTTATGTTTATATCATGACTTAAGATGATATTTTACCACGTTATGTGAATGTCTTATGTTTTGACTATAATTATATGATGTTGTCTTGTGAACTATTCAATGACATGAGCTCGATTTTCCATAAAAATGTTAAATTGAAAAGGTATAATTATTTTCGAATTTCTCCACTCACTGAGCTATCAACTCATATATTTTCCAGTAATTTTTTCTACAGGTAGCAATTGATTCTTTTTAGCTGGAAAAGCCTAACGATTTCAAAATGAGAGCCATATGATATGTTGAGTGTTATAACTCATATTGATGAAGCACGAAGTAAATAATTCGGGCCCATTGCATTATGTTTCACAAAAACATATGATTTTGTGCATTTTTTAAAGCAACTCATAGTCAGTCTTGGTGATAGATTTGACATCTAGTCAGCATCTATCATCGGCACACGTCACGTTTCGGGTCCACTAGGGTGATTCAGGACGGGTCGTGTCATACACTCTCTCTTGAAAGTTTCTTGCATAATGACGGCCTTATCTATGAGCCCCTACAGTAGGCTTTGTGAAATTGGGTCAACAATATCCTATGTTATTTATGATTTTGCATTTGGTGTTTGGTTCGATTTACTTTTGTTTGTGGTCTTTGGGTCGAAACCCTACAAGACCAATATCAGTATTGAAACTACTCATTTTTTACCAACATCATGTTCTATATTCATAATTTTATTGGAATAATTTTTGAAGAATAGCGCGCGAAAGTGTAATAGGCACAAGAGCCTCCCCATCATCTCATTCCTTCACTTATATTCATGCATTGCTTTTTTGCTGGTGACGTCTATGAATATTTTTTAGCGTTTTATATTAGTATTTAATTTTCATTTTCCTTATAGAAGTCATATTTTCAGATTTGTTATCACCTTAGTTGTCATTAACTGAAAAGCTCCATCGACAGTTAATTTATAAAATAACTTTATCCCCTAATTGGATATTGATTTAGCAATATACTAGCCATGTGATAAGTGGATATCAGATTACACCAAGTACGAAGCTTTTGTTTTTAACTATCATTCATATGAAAACTTTGATTTCTTGTATCGAATACAAATTTTTTTTATTCATTATATTCTTACCGTAGCTCTACTTATGTATATGGCCTATATTCTTGTATAAGTATAAATACTGTAAATAATTTTCTAAAGAGACAAGCAGCTATTTGGCTCAACTGAGCCAGAAGACTTCCCAATGGCGTTAATGCATGACGAATGAGCCGGCTCATTTTTATAGGTCAGCTTAACATCTTCCAAGGTAATATCACTGCATGGATTTCCTTTGCTGCAGTCAAATTTTACTGCAGTTTCTGTTGCCGAACTCCCATGTATGTCTTGATATGTTACATCACTAATCTTCACGCCTGAAACCTGAAAAAAATTAAGGCCGCGTTGCATAATGAATTTACAATTGAATGGTATATATTAATATTTTTTTTTTAATAATGAGTTCCCATGTCTTAATTACCTGACTGGGGCAATTATGGTCATCGGGACAGTAATTTTGATCAATAATTATGGGGTTTTCAACATTAACCATGACTAAATGCTGGAAAAGAATATTTTTAACGAATCCATTGCTTGGCCTGGCCCATGTCTTCACCCTCGCCCCATTTTGAGTTCCTGTAAATGTAGCTGATTTAACTGTCACATTTTGCACTCCAGGTTCTTGTAAATCCCAGCCTAGACTCCCAATGCTGCAGAAAAGGAGGACAAATTAGTTAACTCAGCTAAATAAATTGTTGGGATACATTATGTTATACTTCCTCTGCTCCAAAAAATAGAATTGCTTTCCTTTTTGTCTGTCCCAAAATAAAGGTCGCTTTCCTTATTGAGATTATAATTATTTTCTTAGTTTTCTAATATAATCCTATTTGACGTGTCTTGTTATCAACAAATATGAATTATTCTTATTTAAACCATTATATAATGTAGAAATATGTTAGGAAAAAAATGAGAAAAATTTATATTTTCAACTATATTAATTACAAGTTTCTTAATTCGTGTGACAATAGAAATATATTTATCTTTGTGGGACATAAGGAGTATGATTATATATTTTTTAATAAAGATTGTATAGTTGAAAATGAGTACCATAGAAAAAATAATGTGGTAGAATGGCTAACAAACAAAAGCTATATCTATTGTGTTTATCAATTTTTAATTTACGTTTTTAGTACCTAATTCCATGGCCAGGGCCACATGCGATAGTCTCAATCCACAAGTTCGAGGTGCCGGGACCTATAGAGACACAATCATCTCCGGTGCCAATCTGAGAGTTCATAATTGTGACTCCTGTTGATTTCTCCACGTGAATTCCGTCGGTGTTTGGGCTGTTGCCTGGTGTAGAAACCTTTATTCCCGCTAGCTTGGCATTGTGGCATCCATCAACAAGAATGTTGAACTTCTGGCTATTTATTGAAGACAATCCATTCATTATGATGTTGTTGGAATTGTAGAAGGCCAGTGTCTGAGCAAGAAAGAATCGAAAAATTATGTTAGAATGTACAACATGGCAAAAAATAAAATCACTTTCTTCTTTATTAACATACCGTTGCTCCGGTTGGACAACTATTGCCGGAATTTTTGCATGCCCACAAATTAGCCCCTTGGGCATCTAGGGTTCCACCAATAACAGAAACTCCGGTCACACTTTCGAACTTGATCCAGTTACCAGAATTTCCAATAACATCAAAATCAGATGGAGCTACTAGTGTCCCATCAATTTGAATCGTTATAGCAGTGTTTTTGCATGACTTGCCGACAAAAGTTGCAGCTCCAAGCAAGTATCTTCCCGGTGGCACGTAAATGGTGGCTGGCTGCGTAGAAGCACATGCTGAGGTCCATGCACTCAAGAATGCCTTGGTACAATCAGTTTTTCCATCAGATTTTGCTCCCAAACTTTGGACATTGTAATTAGCATTGGCTGCAATTGATGAGTAGTTGAAGAAGGTCAGGAGGAAATATTGGAAAGCAAGGAAAAAAGGTAAAGCTCCAGCCATTTTTTTTTTCGCACGTATGTATGTGTGTGTTATAGAGAGAGGGAGAAAGGGGGAGGGGATGAGGAGATGAAGCAGTTATAAGAGGTATTTATAGGCTATAAGTTGAGGGCAAATTTAAACAGTGATGGTGTTTATGAGGTCACGATCACTGTTCTCGTACCACACCGAGAAGAAAAATTGTTTGGACAAATGAGAATTTCAAGTTATTTAGCGCAATAAGAAAAATATGTATGACAATAGAATTATGGCATAGAATAAAAAACGTGTTAGTTAAATTGTGGCTGAAGAAACAAAATACAGGCACATGGTTGGATGTTTGTTTTGACAAATAAGAAATTTAACTTATTTAATTTAATTAGTGCAATATTAATTTATTGATCAAATCTAAGCAAAAAGAAAAGCTTTGACAATGGGGAAATAAATATGGCTTAGATTAAACACATAATAGAAAATTTGCGTCTCATAAAATAATGTATAGTTAGATCAATATAAATGAATATATGATAAATTAATTTTATATATATATATATATATATATATAGAGAGAGAGAGAGAGAGAGAGAGAGAGAGAGAGAGAGAGAGAGAGAGAATTAATAGGCTAGTCCATCATCATTTAACTAGGATAATTAAATAGGTGTTCATATCCCTATCACGTTTAACATTTTAAAAATTACTTCACGAAATATATAAACAAATTAATAAATTAACTAGAATTTTATTCAATCCCAATATTATCATTTTATGGAGATTTTATTGTACACACACAGCCACAATGGTTGATGCTCTAAAAACTAAAATATTCAAAATTCTCGTGTCTATTTTAAACTGAATACACAACAAATCCTTAAATATAAAATCCTCAAACTTAAAACTATAATTTGACAGCAATATTGACCAGGTGTGGGATGACGTAAAGTTGGTCACAAAAGGGATACACACTATTGATTGCATCAAATTTTCGTTTATCATCATCATAATAATAATAATAATAGTAATAATAATAATAATAATAATAATAATAATAATAATAATAATAATAATAATATATATAAATAAATAAATAAATTTAATTGCTGAAACTCTACTTCTATATATCTCTCTAAATCAGTATTAAATTTTGAAGAAAATTTAATGGACATTAAGTACACATTTATGAAAGCACACTTCATATTTGAATTAGAATGAGACATCACAACTCACACCAAAATTTAAAGGTTGACTTATTTAATATTATATAGAGGTTTTTGCTGTAACATGTCATAATAAATAAAATAAGTAAAACGTAAAATTTTGATTTAAATCCTCTTGCCATTATTTGTTGTGTATATATTTAACTTTTGAACAAAGAATGAATTTCATCACTACGCAAACCACATATTGAATACAATTTTTAATGGAAAAAGATATTGTGCGCGTTGTTGTTTGAATCATCGTCAAAATTTTTAAGTATGGTGACAAGTTTCAAGAAATTCGTATATTGGACTACTTCCAACAACTAAATCATTATTTTAGTTAAGAAATTAAACCAATATCCATTTGTTCCAAAATATTAGTTACAACTCAAATTTCTTACTAATCAATTTAGTCCAAAGTTCAAAAATAAATTAAACTGACCAAAATAATGAATGTTATATTTTTGAACTAATGTTTTTTCCTCTGTAAAGTGGGACATACTTTTAATAGTCTTTTAATCAAGACATATACTTTAATAATAACACCGAAGTTCTCTGTTATGCTCTTACTTACGCAATTTAAAAGTAGTCTAATTTTATTCTTTATAAGGAAAGAAGTACCTCCTAACTTTTCATTAGTATCTCAAGTCAAGTTTTGAGGTAGGCGTTCTTTCCTTATAGTCCAAATTATCATCTATAGATGTGTCAAATCCAGAACGAGCTTTGATGCTGCTTTAACTAACACATTATAATTAGAGTCCTTAATAAACCCTTCTTAAATTACATCAAAATTACATAGTTAATTAGATTTAAGTAACAATAGGGTACGAGAAATAAATAGGAATGGATAGCCAACGAAATAATAATGAATAGAAATAAAATTAAGGTGGTAATTCATTAATTGATCCACAGCCATTCTTTCTGCTAATATTAAAGTTGAAGATTAATTTCCGGCGAGAATGTTGCCTAAATTACTCATTTCTCATTTGAGTTACAAATACTGTCTTTTTTAATTTCAACCCTTTTTCTTATACGTTATATCAATGGTTGAAATTTCAAATTTCACTTTATGAGATCCATGATTTTAAATTCTAAATAATAAAAAAAAAAAAATCAATACAATGAAACAATAGATTAATTTTTTATTCTTAAAAAGTTTAGTGTGAAGCACACGAACTTTTTCCTTTAAAACAATTACCGACTTATGATATGCTCCTCGTATAGATTATCTGCTCCTACTAAGTCCTATCTTTGAAAATCTTATGCGAAAAGGGATAAAATTTGGTAAATCTTTACACTTTTTCCTTGCATAATGAAGATCATTTTATCTAGCTATATAATCCTTCTATGCAGGATGTCTTATTAATATTTAATTTATTATTTAAGAGGGTGTTTAGTGGAGATTAAAATTAGATTTTTTAGTAGATTGTGATAAAAGTTTTTGAAATGTGAGATTAAAAAGTTGTATGACCATAAAAAATGTGGTTAATATTGGTTGTTTGACTTTGATTTAAATTAAAATCAGATATTAATCCGTACCAAACGGACTGTAAATTATATGTTCGGTTGGGTTAATTGGAATTCCCTCATTATATACAGAAAATTCTAGGTTGGTGTTGAAATTATAGTGTGTATAATAAATTTGCCTAACTATTACAATGTATGAGATCCTTTTATATGATTATAAATAACTCTATAAAAAATAATTATTTGATAATCACACAAATTATAAATAAAAATAATTCCACACGATTGGAAAGGTAACATGGTGAATAATCATTCTAGATTTTCAACATCTCTCTTCAAACTCAATATGATGTAGAAATCAAATTGAGTTTGAAAATTAAATTGATCCAAATATATCACCATTTTCAAGGCTAGCTCAAACAATCAAATGCGGAGCTACAAGTTTAGTTTAATGGGGACATAACTTAAATATGTAAGTTTGGAAACACGACAATAAATGAGATTGTTAAATAGTTTGAACAGTTATCATACTTCAAAAACACTTCAAAATAACCTCTTTATTAATATCATCAAGGATCCATTTGTATGTTTACTCTTCACATTTGATCTCGAATGCTAACAATATTTCTATATTATTTACTCTATTTGTTTACTTTGTTATTATTTATGTAGGACATTGACACTCTCTATTAGAATACCATTCCATAGTTGTTGCACATCAGGTCCAATGACCGAAAATGAAGAAAAATACTTGAATAAAATTTACTAATTAAAAACATGGAAGATGCAATAAAAAATCTTGAAATAATTCATCGAAACACTTGAAAAGAAAAAATAACTCAACTTCAAAACAAAAGAAGTTAAAACGAACCGCGCATATATAATAAAAGTAGTTAAACGAAAAAAAAGTTTCTAATTGGATTTTGAGAGAATTTTTTATTTAGCTAATGATGTTCAATTTGGTCACTATCACTATTTACGTAAAAGTTCTAAATTTAATATCAAACCTTTAAAAAATGATTTTTTTTTGAAGACTAACCTTATAATGAATACACATTTTTAAATGAAAAAAAAAATTGTGAAAGTTGCAGTTTGCATCACCCGTCACATTTATTAATAGCTGAAGCTATAACAAAATATTTATGGCCAAATTTTCAAGAAATTCGTATCCGCTACAAATTTAAGTTGCTTGTTGTAATACATTCCATTTTAAATTATTGTCTCAGGTATGTTTTTCGAAAGTTTTGAATGAACAGGGATTTATATTCCGAATGAGCAGTTATTCATATATTAAATTTTGCTTTTTAAGGTAATTATTTGAATTAAACCAAATCACTGTTTCGTGCAATTCTCAGTGTGTCAATTTGAAAATATATACCGTAATATAGGCAGAAGATTGAGGCAAAAACTTATGTTAGAAATGCACTTTAATTACGTCATTTATATACCGTAATATAGGCAGAAGATTGAGGCAAAAACTTATGTTAGAAAAGCACTTTAATTACGTCATTTATTCTTATTTTATCAATGGCTTGCAAGTCAAAATGACATTAATTGAATTTTCCATCATTCCTAGACAGTTGCTAATTATATTAAAATCTTGCCTTTTCACGTTTAAAATTATGGTCGTTAAAAGCAAATTTCTTGTACTAATATCTATAGTGTAATTGGAAATCTGTTTATAACTTTAGTTCTTCACTTCCTTTCATATGAAAACTTTATATCCTTGTATCTAATATAGTCTTCTTTTTTTTTTTTTTTTCTATGCTCATTTTTAATTTTGTACTGTAGAAATTACATATAGGTTCTACCCTTATTTTAAATGATTTCTAATTATACAAGCAACTATTTGGTTGAACCAAGGCAGAAGACTTCCCGTCGGCATTGATGCTTGACGACTGAGCCGGTTCATTGCAACTTCTGTTGACGAATTTCCATATATGTTTTGATATGTTATATCACTAACCTGAAAACTGAAAAAGGAAAAAAAAAAATTAAGACCCTTCTTCAGAATTAATTTAGCAGATTCGTGATATGCAGGCCCGGAAATCAGCTTGTGGACAAGTTTGGAGCCGACCGGACTAAAGTTCACTAAAGCGGTTACTTTCAGCAGTTATATGTCAAGCAATTAACATGTGCAAAGCAGTTTCTACAGACGAGTTGTTTATCTGTCTGGTTGGGGCAATTTCCAGGTAGTTTATGTTGGAAATATAATAGAGTAACGACTTTAAAACCAAAAACAAACTTACCAACCTTACCGAAAATTAGACAGAATAATGGCAAGGAAACAAGAAAAATTAGTGTTCTGGGTGGGAAACTTTTGAATTCTTTCCTTAATTGCTGGGGTGATAGCCATACGAATTTGTTATATGCTCAGGGCATGAGACACAAAAGCATAGAGTGCATTGTTGTA